GGTCCAATTCTTTATTGATTCCCTTGTTGGGTCCTGATCAGTTTTCTGTGTGAAAACCTGTAACTGAGGTTTTCTTAGTCGAAGAAAAAATCTTCCAGCAGCATAGACGCACGCACGAGCTTGACGTCATTGTGTTGCAATGTGCAACTCTCAGAAAACATCCCAGTATTGATAAAGGGATTGATAACGTCGGAGGGATATGACTCCAATGGATTTGGAACTTGGCGACAACTCGATCCATCCCCATCCCCTGACAGTCCTACATCAGTCCTCAGTCCTCGTCGCGCAGCCTCAGCTCTGCTGCGTTTTCTGTCCCGTGTGTGTGCGAATGTGTCGTTTGTAATTCGAGTTGTCGCTGAATCTGCGGCCGCACTCGTCGCAGCAGTACGGCTTCTCGCCCGTGTGGATCCTTAAGTGTTTCTGATAACCGTCGAACCGCGTGAGTCTCTTTCCACAGATGTCACACGTGTACGACTTGTCGACTTTGGTCTCGACCTTGCGGTGGACCTGTACGTGTTTGGCCCAGTGGCCCCGCTGAGCGAACGCACGACCGCAAATGGTGCAAATGTACGAGTCCACCACCTCGGACAGCGGCGCCTCCAGGTCGACACTGTCGAGCTGGCCGTTACCTGAAGCTGGATCTGAAGCTTCAGGGGCGTCCTCGTCAAGGTCCGAGCACTGGACTGAGGTACCTGGCTGTTGGTCTAGACCCGAGTCCTCCAGTTCCTGGCGCGACAGCTTTGAGAGCGTGGAGGTCATGTTGTCGTTATCCTGCTTGCCGCTCTGGAACAACAGAAACTTGACGTCGTTCTGCTCCGCAGTCTGAGGCGTCTCCTCCAGCTGGGGCGGCCACGGTTCCTCCTCCTCCTCGTCCTCCTCCTCCTCTTTGATGTGAGGAGGCTTTATCTCGTCCAGACTGGAGCTCCACTCCGGCTGATCAGAGAGCGCTGCCAACCAGAACAAAGAAGAGAGTCAGGACACGTTTAAAACCTGCAGCTGGTTGTGTTTTTATCAAGAAAACCTCCAAATATTCCACAAATACACAAAACACTAAATATCAGCGATGTCGAATCTTTATGATACGACACAATATTGTCATCGTTACACATTTCTGTCTGTCAGGCAGAGATTACAAGTTGCACCACAAGCTCTTAAACAGTCCTGGCTCAAGGTTACGAGAGCTTCCACTAGAAGGGACTGTTATGTTAAATGTCAGTCTAGTGTAGTTATGTTTTGTTTTGTTTTGTTTTGTTTCTGTTTTTGTTGTTTTTGTTTACTGTTGAATTTTTATTTACTGACTGATCTTTTATCTCTGTAACCTGCACATCCTTAGTGAACATGAACATTAGCTTTTAGCCAACAGAAAACTTAACCCGGGAGTTTTTTTGTGTCAATCACTGTAGTCCCGCTGCCTTTATTGGGGACAGGCCTTTATTTCCTTCAGCACTGATGTGAAATACTAACTAATTGTGCAGCTTCTCTTGAGTTTTGTTCAACAAATATAAAAACTACAGTAGTACAATGCAGGTAATGTCCCTGCTAATTAACACTAAACTAATTGTTAACATTAACATGGTGTTATGAGTTTTAAGAGTCTGGTCACGTGATGTGTAAAGGTGGAGCAAAGAAGTTATTTGATTAAGTTCAATTAGTTATCAGCTATTTACTGTTTGTGCTTAACATCTGAAAACTTTGTTAAATGGAAGAAAAACTGGTTTATATTCTACGATACAGTAAAAACATCGCATTGAGATTATTTTTGACAGATATTGTGACTGCGATATGATTTGCGGTTAATGTTGGAAAAAACCGTCTTTAAAAACCAAAAAAAAAATGTTACTTAATCTGGAGACAGTCAGACTGTGGACATATGACATTGTCGTGTTTTAAGAGTTTCGTGTTGTTACGGATACAGATTTGAAATGGTTAAAATGTGATAAAGGGAGTTTGGTGCAGGGAGCTTGTCCTGATAAACTCTGTATTTATTAATCCATTCAATTACACATATATGATTTGTACCCTTTTTATTAATTGTTACTATAAGTGTTAAATACATTTTTTAAAAATGCACCTCCTCAATTAACACATGATCATTTACATATTAATGTATGATTTATAATATTTGCTCATATTTACTGTGAAGCAGTAGTTATATAGGTAATAATTATAAGCTTATTGATAACTATAACATTTAAGAAAACACTCATTTATTGACAGATTCTTGTTTTACTGTGATTCTTCGGGAATAATGAATAAGTTGTAGCTTTTGTTTGTGTCTCTTCCACATCTGAACACATATGAACTGTTGTGTTCAGCTCCGTTCAGCGGATCACTGGCTGTCTTTAAGCCGGCAGAGAGTCGCTGCCTGCGGGCACCGGACCGGTTCCTCACCTGAGCCGTCGACCTGCACAGAAATCTGCGGCTTCCTGGAGAGATCCAGCAGCCGGCGCTGGCGGTCGATCTCCAGCTTGGAGCGGGAGATCTCCTCCTCGTACTCGGCTATGGTTCTCCCGAACACCCCGAAGATCTCCTCCGCGGCCTCCGTGAGCCGCTGGTTGATCAGCAGCCTCAACATCTCGATCTTAGACATTACAGCGGCAGTGTGAGCGGCGGCGGCGGGGCGCGGAGCGTGCGGGGCGGCGGGGCGCGGGGCGGCGGAGCGGCGGAAGCGGCGGGCGGCGGAGCGGCGGGGAGGCGGACGGCGGAGAGGCAACGGGAAAACTTTCGCTCCCGAAGAGCGTCGTGGCGCTTGTTTACTTGCTACACTTACCGGGTTAGTCTGCACGCATGCTCAGTGAAGGTTTCTTCACTATGATGAGGTGTGTTACCGCCAACTGTGGACAGGATGTTTACATACAGGTTTAAAATCTGCTCCAACTACAATTTTTAACATATCTATAAATAATGTCAACAGTCATTAACCCCAGGTGATATAGTTTACATTTCCTGCCTCTGATTTCAAACCTTTTTAGTGTCACAAATCTAGATGTGCATTCTCTGCAGATGAAGATGAAGAAGAAGAAGATATACTTTTATTAATCACCTATTTAAGAAATGTTCTTTTCACTCGTTTTTATTTTATACAACACACACACACAGGCTGCCGGCCCTTACATCTTAATTTGTTTAACATTTCAGCAACATATTTTAATTCCACAAAATTGATTTGGCTTAAAAAGGTTACCCTCTTTTTATACCTTTATAGATGGCTGATTTTTAACTAAAATAAATAATCACAAATATGCAAAAAAATATCAATTATTTAGACTTCCAAATGTACTCACATCGCTTACAGACACCACAGATTTTTATTTTAGTTTGTCTTACCTTTTTTTTTTTTCTTGTTATACCAATTTAATTATTTTTTATTTTATATTATGAGTATACAGTTACTGCAACATCATTATGCAGTGTTTGTATACATATACAGGAGTTAATGTATTTTAATGACTATTTTAATCTTTTCTATCCAAGTTTTAAATGTTAATTAAAAATAATGATGTAATTTTCCTACCTGTAAACTGTGCTCTCAAATTTATTTTAAAAACAAATGCAAAAAAGTGTATTTTGCAGATAGTGTATATCGTTATAAATGCAGTTTACTTTGTTTGTTTATCGTGTTCCAACAAGTATATTTCATTTCATTTTTTCGCAAACAGCTACTTGGTATACATTCCATGTTTCTGAAATATCTTTAAAAAAAAACAAAAGCAAATATAACTAAAATGTTGAATTGACTGTCTCTGTCAAACTGGTAAACATAGAAAAAAAAATATTTTCAGTGACATGATTTCAAAACTGGACCAAATTCCTCCTGCTTATTTTAATTTTATTTAACCTTTATTAACCAGGAAAAGGTCCAATTTAGTTACAATAACTCTTCTCCCAGGGAGTCCGGCCAAGGACTGGCCAGCAACAAAGTTTCCAAAAAAAAAAATATATAGTATCATAAAAGACAGGACGAAAGGTTACATTACTACACCACAACATCTCTGTACATACGCTATACGTAGCTGGAAACACAAAAAAGACAATTACACTTTAACTTCAAGCTAACACAGAAATACAAACTTAAAGGGCACCTAGTTAAAAACAATTACACTGTTTAGTGTAAGAGTCAGAGTTGACTTAAAAGGTTTTTAAAAAGTTTAAAAGACGTGGAAGTGATTCTAGATTTAGGTGTTTTGAAATGGGATTGCCACTTAGAGATGTCTTTTGCTAAACACAGACAACTTGAAAGGAAGTTTTTTTGTCTTATAATGTGGGCCAGTAAAAGTTGAGGAACCTAATTGAAGAAATGCTGATGCATGTATGATGATTTGTGATGATTTTTTCACAAAAATGCCCACCCATCAACATCACCACAGAAAAAGTGCTTTGACAAAGGATGTTTTAATCTCAAAAAATCCTAAATAACCACAATTAGTTATAAATATGCTATTTCAGCCCTAACAACAATACAAATTATACTGGTAAACACACTGATGAGAATACATTTTAAACACATATTTCTGGGTCTGTATTGTTCTTCCATCCACACTAAGTAAGTTAGATTTAAAAAAAATCAAAAACGTTAATCTGGAAAGTGCCAGTGTTACCTCACAACAATAAACAGAACATGGAGCTTATCAACACATTAAATCTACCTGCTAAGTTTTTCATGCATGGGAACGGGTGATAATGCACCAACCACTACCACACAGAAATCAAAATCAGAAATATTTTATTGACGTTATTTACAGAGACCCAACAGTAACAACATTGAGCAATCACCTGGCCAACAGGGCAAGGAAAAACTACTGCCTTTTAAGAGGCAGAAACCTAGGACAATGACCTTTCGGCTCTAGGTGGGTGGTCATCTGTGTCGACCATATACTCCACTGACAGGAGCCATTATAACTAGATAATCAGTGTCATTCACTGGCAATGGCTGATCGCTCTATAATCTACATAAACAAACAAGACCATCATCGGTTGGATTCATCTTAAAATCAATTAAACAAGGCAGTAGAAACACTACCGCTTTAGTTCTTAGGGGCTGCCAAAATCAACACAAAATAAGAGTTCCTTACATGAGTTTAAAGCCGTAGCTCTTGTTACCTAAACCCAATTTCTCCATTTGTGTAAAATATTCCTTCTATCATAAAAGCCATATTTTGTTTGTCTCATGCATCACCCTTTTCACAGTTGACACTTTGGTTGCACTTCATTTAAAGAAATAAGACACAGTTTCCCTCCATAAATAAAAATGGCAAATTTTCACTAATCCAGGCAGGTAATTTCACACATCATAACATCTGTTTTGAAGTTACTCTTCATTCCTGTTAATACCAAAAATATCCCATCCACATTTAAGCCAATTGCAAAAATTGTGTCTCATTTCAAAGATTAAAAAAATGTCTTTGTTTCAGCCAATGAAAGGTCAGACATGTTGTCAAATGACCTGTCACGTTTACGTCAGACTTTTAATAAAGGATCCAATTAAAAATAATTTATTTCCTGCCAAAACAACAAATGACCAGTTTTTTTCAGTCTTATGGATGTGGCGACGCCTCATCTTGCTCCAGTCTACCTAGATACAGAAAGAAAAACATTTAATCAACTGCAGCTATATATACTAAGATTCATGCAGCCTAGTGTTAACATTTTATAAAACAAACTTAATTTTCTTGCTATTCTTTTCCATCAGAAATGTGTTTTTAGATTGCCTGTATGTAAAAGAAACAGAAGGAAGGTTTTATTCCAGAGGCTTTTAGGCTTTTAGACAGTTACAGTACAAGAGCTGGTCAGTTCACCTTGTGTAGAGACTGCCCTTGCACTTTTGACATATTTGTGACATAATATGTGCCTTGGTGGAGTTGCCAGCTATGGACTAGCCTTGTGTATTTTAACTCTTTCTAACATTGTCATATTTGTATTTTTAGATTGTGTTTTATGTGTGTCTTTGTGTACTTCTGTTTGCAAACTCACTGCCTCAAAGTGCCCCTTAAAGAGGATCATCTAGTGGTGAGGTTGCAGATTACAACTAACTGAATACCACTCGCCTCACCCTCCCCTTCCAAGTGTAACTACTGTGACTGCAAAATTTGCATGAAACGTGAGCGTCCCTATCTAGAGCCAATGTTTGGTTAGTCCATTCGGGGCTAGTGTAGAAACATGGCGGTTCAATATGGTGGACTATGTAGATAAAAATGTCTCATTCTAAGGTACGAAAACGCAACAATTCTTATTTACAGGTGTTTACACACTAATGAAAACATACCTATGAATATTATTTCTGCCAAAAGATCCTCCTCAATGTTACACTGGACGAGTACCTTTTATAATTAAATTTATTTAAGTATCATTTGTCTTAAGTGTGTGTCACTAGCATTTAATGAGAGTTGGAATATCTCCAGCATGTATTTACATTAAACTGCTTCACTTTTAATGTGGCAAACCCAAATTTAGTCCTCAATTTGCTTTTATAGAGAATCACAACAGTGAATTAAATTAAATCTAAAATAATAAAAAAGTTAAAGGTATAAAGGTGTCAGGTAACAATCTGAAAGTAAAGTTAAACTTCTAATCAAAGGTAATTTTTGTGAATTTGACAATTCTTCACAATCTAAGAACAGTTTTGCCACTAACTCACTTTCCTTTTTTCTTCCTCCTGTCTTTCCCACACAAAATCAGTCCAAGTCTGTATTTTAGACTGAAGAGTGTGCAGCTTATTCACTGATGAAAACGGGGAACACAAAAAAGGCTTTTTCATGTCCCAAGATTTTTGCTCAGTCGACAGGCTCAATGTGGTCTCAGTCTTAATGAGGAATAACTGATCCATGAGGGAGGAAAATAGCAACAAATTAATAATAACCCAAATGGAAGTACTTACTGGGTGCACAGAAGTCTGGTTTCAGTGTCTCAGAGAGCTCAGTGTTGTCAGGAGCTGGAAGGTCAGAAACAGGCTGCACTGTAAACACATTTACTTTGTATATTGAGTATATAGAGAGCTGCAGGAATTAAGTGTTTTTTAAAGTCCAAACCGGAAGTTAGCATCAACCTGGTTCGTTCGACAAACAGCATATTTTTTGCAATAATCCAAAATCTAATAGAACAATCCTATTTGGCTTCAAATTCACAGATAGGGTATTTACTGACAGATTTTATATTGTACAACAAAACATTAAAATCTCTTAAACTTGTGTTAACCACAGACCTTATTTGAGGCCACTGACTTCGAGGAGAGGGAACCAGAGGTGCTAAACTCATTTCTGGGTTTTAGGACTCATTCCTGCAGCACTCTATTTATTTATTTGTTTGTTTATTTGTTTGTTGCTGCAGCTGTGGTGATATCAGTACATCTCTCCATCAGTGACCCCCTGTGGACCTCTCAGTTCTATGTGTGGGAATTTATTTATTTATTTATTTATTAGGAATAAGCCCTTGTAAAAGTACACAATCATACAAAAACAATAACATTTAAGTTAAATTATAAAGTTATGAAGGTGTTGTTATGGACATTGTACAACTTGTATTAGACCACCGGTTCCTCTTTACTATAATTAATTAAATTAATTATAAAAAAATTGATAACCCCCCTGCCTGATATATAAAAATATATTTATTAAAAACTGTACATTAATCCCAAATAGTG